TATTATACATTTATAGAAGTTTTTTCTCATATGGTATATGAGTATTTATCGGAAAATTCTGACATAAATCTATATATATTATTTTATTTTCTTATTAACCATTGATTTCATTGAAAGGTTTTTCACCTCGTGGCGTTATTGGATTCACTTGCAAATTATATCTCTCCTCACTTATTCCTTTTTGTTAACTCTTGAGATATATCATAATTTTGTCAATTTCGTCTCTAATTCAAATGGTATTTCTTCTTTTCTTAAAATATTTCTAGTTAAAAGTTGTTAAGGGAACAATTGATTCCGAAACATAAAGTAATAAGATTATAACTTCATGCCATGTCTTAAAAGATCCCAAATCACTATCCTGCGAGGGTGAGGTGACCCAAAAATCCATCTTTAGTTCAAATTGCAAACTGCAACTTACTCGCATGTCGAAATCATTCATGATAAGTGTCAATCAATCACCATATGGTAAAAAATGTATTATCTAACCTTATATCCACCATTCATCACACTATGAGCAATTATTACTTTAACTATAAGGAAGGGGATCCTGAAGACATGACTAGTGATTGGGGTGAAGTTATAACCAGGCATAAAAATAGAAAAAGGAAGAAGAGAGACGAGTTAGCTTAGGAGTTAAAAGGTTAAACACATACAACAATACCTTTTTAACTTGCCTTAATATTTTATTTAGTTATTTATAACATAGAATATAATTGATATTTTATCCTTTATATAGATAAAATGAATTATACAAATTAAAATTAAAAGAATCATTATCTTTAGCATAGAGAGAACTAAATTTTAAAAAGAAAAAAAGAGGTAGATAAAAAAAAATGAATTAGTAAAGTAGATGAAAGAAAAAACGGAAAAGGGCCAAAAATATTACTAAGCAATAGGAAAAGGTTTTAAAAAATACCCTTCATCCATCTATTGGTCTAAAAATACCCTTTCATTCATCTTTTAGGCTCACTTATACCCTTGAAACTAACAATTCTCTCTTTATTCTTTATTTTTAAAAAATATTTATTATGTGTCATTCTCCTATTGAATAATATAAAGAGTCCACCTCAATTAGATTATTTCTCATTATTTATCCAAATAAAAGCAATATACCTCTTCAAGACCCCAATTTTTTTTTATATAAAAAAATATTGTAGTTTTTTATTATTTATTTATTTTTGGATCCAACTCCTCTCCATTTCCTCAAATTTTTACTTAGATTGAAGACTCATGACATGAGAAAAATTAACGGCTAATATTTAATTAATTAAATCAAGATTCTAAATATGATATAGATGATTAATATTTTATAAACAAATTTATTATGTCATAATCATAAAAATATATTATCTTATCCATAAATACATTACACACATTTTTCTCTATTTTCCTACTTCAATTTTTCCTATGGCTACGAACGTTCATCTGGGTTTTTTTTTTTTTTTTAATGAGTTAATTTTTAAGTAAAATTGTTTGTGGAACTTCTTCTTTGAAAAGCATTTATCACAAATTAGCAAAAAAATTAAGTTAACAATTTTTTTTTATTTTAATAAGGAAGATAGATATTGTGCCACTATTAATATTTTTATAATATATTAATTATTTTAAAAAAACTTTTTAATTTTTTTTTTAGAGAAAATACAAAAAATACTTTTTAAAATTAAAAAAATTGGGGTCTTGAAGAGGTATATACTTTTTAATTTGAATCGTTTTTGGGGAAAAAATTAATAGAGATGAGATTTTTATTTTATCTAATAAGAAAATGACAAATAATAATTATTTTTAAAAAATAAAACAAAATAAACTTTGGTTTTTAGTCATAAAGATATAAGTTAGTCAAAAAGATGAATGAAAGGGTATAAGTGAGCGAAAAAGGTGAGTGGAAGGGTATTAGGTATAGGTGAGCCAAAAAGGTAAATGAAAGATATTTTTAGACCAAAATATGGATGGAGGGTATTTTTAGACCTTTTCCTATAATTCAAGGGTAGTTTTGGCCCTTTTTTGAAGAAAAATGAGGTTGAAGACAAGAAAAATAAAATATCGAATATTAATACTAAAAAGAATTTTTCATGTGCTTTAAAAGGTAATTTTTTAAATTTATTTGTCCAATCAATATTTTATGTTTAAATAATATATTAAAAATGAAGTTGGAAATTCAAATAAAATTTAAAGAACAAGTTAAAAGTATTCCACAGAGAAAAAACATGCAAAAACTGAGATAGAAAAATAGAAAGAAGTGGAGACAAGATATTTAACAAAGATGAGACAAAGTCACATGGGAGAGAGAAAGGGAATATAATATTTTTTCTGAATCAATAGATATTTTATCTAATTTTTCCTATTAAATTCACTTTGAGCTGGCTAGATGCTAAACAAATTTCATGATTTAAATTCAGACCTAAAAGAAAAAAGATTGGGACCAACATGAAAGCTTAACAAAATTTAAAGAAGCTGATTTTGCATGTCACATTAATGTCAAAAGGAGAGCCCAAGGAGCTACCACAAAAAAGCCCAAGGAAGTCCAAAAGTGTAGATTTTGCATGCCTAACAAGGATTTTTTTTCACATGTGCAATGGGCCCAAAGAAAAGGAAAAACTATCCATTTATATAAATATTTCTATTATATTTATTAAATTTTTTACTATATTTTAAAGCGTAATTATATTTTATCACTTATTAATTGCTTCATATCAAATTTCAAATCAGATATATTATACATTTAGATGCATGTTCTTTTTGCCATCAGATACACTACAATAGGGAGAGAAACAAGCAAAATTTGTCTATGTATTCTAGATATATTCAAGTATGCTACACACTAGATAAATGTATTTGTATATATTTGGTGTGATTATCTGGGATACCAAATACATATGAGAGTAGTGAGCGAGATGGAAGGGAGGTGAGTGAGATTTGTCTATGCATTCCAAATACATGTGAATCCATTTGGATACAATGTATTCCCGAGATTCATGTATCATGAGGTATCTGAACTCACCAAAATCTGATAATTGTAATATTACAAACTAACGTCTATCTAAGTAATTAACCTCATAAACGGGTGAGATTTGTGTAAGTTACTTTTTTTATAAAAAAGGGGTGGGGGTGGGAGGGGGCTATTTCTCATGCCCTACTTATGGGTTTTTTCCCCTTTATTTGTGGTTTTGGGAAAAAAAATTACTTGCTTTCCTATTTAAAGTTTCATAATTAGGTTTTTATTATTTTCATAAAAGTATGATTTGAAACATATGATATGTGAGATAGGTTTCCTATGATTTGAAACCTATGATATGTGAGATAGGGTTTCCTATGATTTGAAACCTATGATATGTGAGATATGGTTTCCTTATATATACAGTCTATAGAGGTGTATTTAATTATTATTATTAATTTCAATAAAGTAAGTTGTTGTTAATTTTATCTGAGATATTTTAATTTTCAATTATTTTTCATCTTCTATGAATTTATTTTATAACCTTACGAGAAATTGACTTGATATCTATGATTTCGGTTAATTAAAGTACATTAGAAAAAGTAATTAGTGTGATACTAATTATTTTTTATCTAAGTTCTTGGATTATCCTATTATTCTCTCCATCTCATATTAGTTGATGATTTTCCTTTTTTACACGCATATTAAGAAATCATAAATAAACGGATAGTTTTACCAATTCACCCCTTGAGAACTTCATTGGAACTTTACAAACAAGTGTGAACACTTTAAGAAGAATTAATTGCAAGAGTAATTTGAGGAAAAAAATCAATAATTAATATTTTTTTGATTTAGAGAGTGTTTGAATTGACTTAAAAGTTGGTCAACTTACTTTTATGTCAATTTTTGACTTCTGAAAGTGTATGAAAAATACTAAAAATAACTTAAAATCAGTTAAAAATGACTTAAAATAAGATAGGAAGTGTTTGACAAGGTTAAAAATAACTTAAAATAAGTCAAAAACCAAAAGTAGGTTTCCCCCTACTTTATATTTTTTGACTTAAAAGTCATTTCAAGAAGTTGGTAGCAACAGAACTCTTTCTAAACCACTAGAGACAGTCACCTACAATAATAAGTCTACCTACGCAACATTGTAGAGAGACGTTCGACTCCACGTGTCCGCTGAACAGTTCTGAGTTTTTATTTTTGACTTAAAAACTATTTTTTAAAACCAATCCAACGGGCAATCAAATAATATGAGACAACTATTTTTAGTATAGTGATCAAGTAATATGGAATAGATGAAGTAATATCATAATTAATTTTAATTCACAAATTAGTAAATACTAAGATCAATTAGAATGCACTTAATTTTACAATTTAGAGATTTTATTATAGAAATTCACATATTTTAAGATTTCGTTTTCAATCTTTATATTTTTGCTTACCTATTATTTTCTTGTTTCCTTTCGAGTAAACCTAATTCTTGTCGTAGTGACTTTGGACGTATGCATTGTACTAATTCATTAGGAAGTTTCTCACCTAAAGACATAATCCTTTTAACCTTTTCCATTCTTCTTTGTCACAAAATCGTACTCGAGCTTCTTCACCAATGAGTCTCCAATAAATCCAACATGACATTATTAATTTTTTAATAATTTAATTAAAAATAATTTGAATATAAATCAAATTTGACTATAGCTGATTTTTCAAGAAAGCTATTTGAAACATATGATATCGATGATCCGAAGATTACTTAATTTTTTTTTAAAAAGATTGAAAATTTAATATAATACCAAAAAGATATATGATAAGGTTTTTTTTTGGTTTTTTTAATAATAAATTCATAAGCCTTCTATTAAAGTTTTGATTTAGGCCATTATATTTGTTGGGTTGCCCCTACATAATTATTCGCGTTTTTTTTTATCTTGAATAAGATTATTTGTATTTTTTACCATTTCGTACAGAGACAATATAATATCTATGATTGATTTCACATCTAATGCTTCCTTGATTTTCATTTTTTGTCAAAGTGTGTGATGTTCTTCTAAGCTAAACAGAGAGAAAATTAAATAAGAAAATTTTGTATAGACAAAGCTATAAAATAAGTGATATGCTAATTTCTAGATCCAAAAATACAAAACATATGTACAAATAATGGAACTAAATTAAGCTAGTGATGATATGGCGAAGTTGTTTCAATTCTATTTTTTCTTTTTTGTAGAAATCTTTGTAGAGATTTCTTCACAGTTTGAGGTTGTAATAATGGTGATGACGGTTCAGACATTGGTGACGAAGTCTTGTTTGTTTTCTCCTCTATTTCTCTACTTGCAAGATATATTATAGCTTTAGCCTGTATTTAGAAAAATAAATAAATTAGAATGATTAACAAAAGTCATTTATTATTATGAGAAATAAATATGAGAAATAATACCGTTAATTCGTTGAACGGCAATGTGTGGTTGGTGAAATAATTTGAACCCCCAATCTTAATTATCTAAAATAAATTATTTAAGATAATGAAAATGGTTCTTTAATGGCCACAATTTTTTTGATCTAAATAAAGATTTTATCATTTTATATTAAAAGAAGAATAAAAACGTGCATCTTGTTTGACCAAATTAATTCTCTACGAAAGTTTGATATTTGTCTTGAAATTTCAACAAATTTTACACTCAAAGAAAAGATGCCTCTACTGTCTCTCTCTTTCAATTTATTTGGTTATTTTAATTTGATGCAGATTCAAACAAAAAAAATATACATAAATTTTATAATTCTAAATTAAAAATATATCAAAAATATTCTTTGATCTTGTAGTTTACATCATGTCTATATAAAATTAAATTAAAAAAAAAACTACAAAAAAAAGTAAAAAGAGAAAAAAAAAGAAAAAGAGTAACAACATAATCAATTTATTTACTATATGGTGAGGTTTGTTCATGAACGTACAAAGATCCTTCCGTTCTAAGAAATTAAAAAAAAATAAAATCATGCATAGTCATGATAGAGTGACCTATGGGTTCACAGAAGGTCCCTACACCCCGAAAATAACAATAAGCTACAGAAAATAAAAAGAGAAAAAATCATACCTGAAGGTCAGTAACATGAGAAACCACAAGTTTTCCATTGTAAAATATTGTTAACGGCTGAGATTTATTCTCTAATTCTGTGCTTTCTTTATCCTCCTCCCTATATATAGTAAAGAAAAACAAATATATAATCATTACAATGACTATAATCACTATGAATTAGAAAATGAGAAAAAAAAATTAGAGACTTACATTGAAAAATAGGAGGTATTATTGCAATTGTTAGGAGAAAAAGTTGAAAGAGAAGGTGGCATAAGCCTAAGCTCCAAATTACAATTTCTTCTCATTTTCTTCAATTTACAAGTTATGGATGATGAAATTGTGATATGAAAGAAGAAAGGGGATTTTGAATGATGAATATAAAACAAGTAGTGGGGTACAAGGTGGGTGGGTGTATTTAGAAAAAAGGTAAAAGCCACGTTTTTAACACATCAATAATATAGTTGGTTCATAAATAGCCGTCACTTTCCGAAAGTACGTAGTGGTAAATGGACATGTCTACAAAGATGGCAAACGGCTAAGTATGAGTTAAATCAGCACGTGATAAATGACATTTCGTCTCATTTCTTCTGTATACGTCTCTTGTCTCTGTTTATTTTTATTTGTCTATTTCTTAGGGATAAAACAAACTTAATAAGTAAGGCTTTCTTTGATGTGAGATATTACATTAATAGGTTGTTTTATTGGCAAGTTTCGAATAACTTATTTTAGGATTAGTAATTAGTATCGAAATAAGTTATCTCTTTCCTTAAATTCCTTTTATACATCACACACACACACACAATATATATATATATATATTTGCGTCTATACTATACTTTGGTAGGCGCATATTTTTTCATCTTTTTTGTCTTTGTACTTATTTTTTCTTGTTTTAAATACTGCTCCACACCCTTCTAGACTTCCGTCCGTTTCGACTATTGAGTAGTCAGTTTCTAATGGGAGTGATAAGTTTGGTATGGTTCTAACCATATGTTTGAGTTTTTGCACTAACTTTATATCTTCCGTGTTGAATGTCTTTTGTCCATTAGTTCCTGCTTTTGAAAATAGGGGTCCTGCTATTTTTCCTAGGTCTTTTATAAAATTCCTTGCATTATTTAAAATCCCTAGAAATTTTTGTAAATCTTTAGTTTTGTCTAATTTGTCTGGCATGTCTAGGACTTTCTTTGCTATGTGAGGTTGTAATTTAATTTTTTCCGTCTCCAATTTCTACTCCTAAAAAATTTATGAGGTTTTTACATAAATCCATTTTTTTTCTACTAATTATGATACTGTTGTCTACAAATAGCTTAAAGATTGTTTGTAAGTGACCTAGATATTCTTTAGTATTGTTACTAAATACTAAAATATCGTCTACGTATACAAGAATAAAGTTTTTATAATCTCTGAAAATATTATCCATTTTCCTTTGAAAAATTGGAGCGGCCGTTTTTAGTCCGAAAGACATTACTAGCCATTCGAAATGTTCTTCTGGACATGTAAAAGCAGTCCATTCTATACTATCTTCATTCATTTTTACTTGCCAGTATCCGAACTTACAATCGAACTTACTAAAAATCTTTATTCCTTGTATTCTATTTATTAGCTCTATTTTATCTGGTAGCTTATATTCGTCCATTCAGGTGTTATCATTGAGTCTTTTGTAATTTATAACCATTCTTAATTTTTCCCTTACTATTTCACTATAATTTCTTACCATGAACACTGCTGATCTATGCTTTGATGTTGATCTTCTGGTTACTCCCAATAAAAAGGTCGTTTAAATTAAATAGGGGTGGTGAGGTTGAAAATGATAAATGATGCGTTTGTGAATTATATTGTAAAATCCTACTCAGTACTCCCTCCTCCGGTTTCCTGATCTAGTTTAGTAATTTGTTGTTACTAAATTTATGTAATTTCTCCCAAAATTACTTTACTTTTTTTTTTACTTTGTTCATCTCTTTTCCTTAGCCTATGTTCTGAGCAACTTCTTCTTTAACCAAACCCCGGGATACACAGTCCTTCGGTTCTCTGACCATGACTGACTTTCAACCTCCCTAGGTATTTACAAGTTAATCCATCGTCATTACTAAGAGGGTAGGGAACTAACCATTTACTAAGAGTAAGTAATGACCAATTATATGGGTATAAACAGTTCATGTATGAACATTATATTATATAACAACAATACTATAGTACATAATATCAATATACATAAACTGGGAGAAACTACTAAGATCTAGAAGACACATAACTGCTTACATTGATAGTGGTCGGAGAGAGGTTTCCCTTTCGGGAGTCCCCGAGTGACTTTGTAGCTACTTCAAAAACTAAGCACTCACTCTTTTTTATTTTTGAAGGGAAGGGAAATATGTAAAGCTAACTCTTAAAACTAATTCTTCTTCTTCGCTATGCTCCGCTTTCTCTTGCCCTCTAACTTCTTCTTGCAAATGATGTAGTATTTATAGGCGATGATGGCTTTCTCCGGATTTGAAATTTGGATTTCAAAATGTTAAATAGTCTTTCTTTTACCTGCCAGGTGCTCTTTGGACCCCATCGTCACATGGTTTTGAAAAAACGTTTCAAATTTTTTTGTCCTCTTTCTTTGTCAGCCTTAGACTAGTGGTGTATTACGTCATAGCTTACCTATATTTCTTTGTATTTTCTCTTGATTCGTCATTGCTTACGTATTTTCTATGTGTCTAAGTTGTGTAACGCTATGAAGTCGAAACTCATCCCTGAGTCGTCGTCTTCGTTTGGGTCTTGGGCAAATTGTTCTAGGGATGAATTGTATTCACTTCCGTAATAGTTACTTCCTGAATATTTCGTGTCTGGAGTTTCTGGTTCAGATTTTGGATTTTCACTTATGACTTCTTTGGTCTTTTTAATAAGTAACTTCTAGAGGGAATTTTGTATCATTTGTTCAATTCTTTTTTCTTTTTTTTTAACAAGAATCCTTTAGTCCTTTTTCCCTATTATGTAGTTCTTGTTATATTGAAAGTAGCTGGTAATATTCTTACACTTTTTTGGCAAAGTGTCAGCCATCAACGAATTTGATAAGTCTTTACCTGCTACCGTTTGAATGGGACTAGCTGTACCTTTAGCTGGTACAGTAGCTTCTTCTACATTATTTGGGGAATGTACATCCTTCTTATCCATTTTAGACCGAGATGGAGAGCTCCTTTGTTCTTTTGGATGATCTTCTATTTGTAATGGTTGGGTCTGATTGATTTCGAAATGTAAAATTTTGATTCAATCTTGTAAAATGTAGATGTGTTGCGTCATTGTTTCTTTTTCTTTTTCGAGCCTCTCGATGGTCTGGTTTTGTCTTTTGAAGCCGTCTATCATTGTAGAGCAGTGGTCGCAAAATACTATTTTGTCTGTGTCTTTCTGGATATTATATCGTGGGAAAAAGGATTTGTGATTTGTCTTAAGGCTGGACTTAGAAAATAGTTTGGTCCAAGAGTTCCCCTTGCGTAATCCATGGGTTCATTTAGGTCATTGAATTCTTTGAAGAGGGGAGTGGGAAAGTCTTTTATTGAGTCTATTACTTCCGCCCATGTCTGAAAAATTCCAGCCAGTCTTTTTTGGACTACCACATAAAACTTGAATTTTTTGTCTTCATTTTTTTCTGTAAAATAATGGCTTAGCGAATTCATTACCGAAATGAAGTAACTATTGTCTCGTGGCACTTTGTTATATGCTATCCATAAATTGTCTATCAAACATCTCTATGGTCTATCTATCTTTGATTGTAGCTTTATTCTAAAACTTAAGTTGGTTTGGGGGTAAATATATTAAATTTTGTCTTCCGAAATGCAGTCTCTCAATGCTTGGGGTGTTCTATCATGCTTTATTTAATTTTGTCTGGGGTTTGAACAAGGTATTCTTTAGTAAAGTCTGGAGATATAAATCTTTGTCTATTCCGTCTGTAGTGCTGCTTGAGCTGGAGGCCATGGCATTGTCTTTCCCTGTACTCATGCTAAAAATAAACAGTTAGTCTTCATGAGTCTGCTAAGCTGATCTGCTAACGAATTATCTTTCCCTTTGATATGTTTCAGGGATATATTATATATTGACGTGACATCTAACATATTTAACCCTCTTCTTTTACTACTACTTTTTCCATCTATATTTTTTGATGAAATTTTACAATAGCTTCACAATCAGTTCTTACTAAAATTTTCTTTTTATTGATAATATATAGTTTAAAACTATTTAGGTCATAGATTACCACTAATATTTTTGCGTCTATACTACTCATGTTTCCCTTTTCTATATATTTTCCGCTTTGGTAAGCGCAAATTCTTTCATCTTTTTTGTCTCCGTACTTATATTTTCTTGTTTTAAGTACTGCTCCCCACCCTTCTAGACTTTCGTCCGTTTTGACTATTGGGTAGTTAGTTTCTAATGGGAGTGATAAGTCTGATATGGTTCTAACCATATGTTTGAGTTTTTGCACTAACTTTATATCTTCCGTGTTGAATGTCTTTTGTCCATTAGTTCCTGTTTTTGAATATAAGGGTCCTGCTATTTTTCCTAGGTCTTTTATAAAATTCCTTGCATAATTTAAAATCCCTAGAAATTTTTGTAAATCTTTAGTTTTGTCTAATTTGTCTGGCATGTTTAGGACTTTCTTCGCTATGTGAGGTTGTAATTTAATTTTTCCTTCTTCAATTTCTACTCCTAGAAAGTTTATGAGGTTTTTACATAAATTCATTTTTTTCTACTAATTATGATACCGTTGTCTACAAATAGCTTAAAGACTGTTTGTAAGTGACCTAGATGTTCTTTAGTATTGTTACTAAATACTAAAATATCGTCTACGTATACAAGAATAAAGTTTTTATAATATCTGAAAATATTATCCATTTTTCTTTAAAAAATTGGAGGGGCCGCTTTTAGTCCGAAAGGCATTACTAGCCATTCGAAATGTCCTTCTGGACATGTAAAAGCAGTCAATTCTATACTATCTTCATGCATTTTTACTTGCCAGTATTCGGACTTACAATCAAACTTACTAAAAATCTTTCTTCCTTGTATTCTATTTATTAGCTCTGTTTTATCTGCTAGCTTATATCCGTCCATTCAGGTGTTATCATTGAGTCTTTTTGTAATTTATAACCATTCTTGCTTTTCCCCTTTCTATTTCACTATGATTTCTTACCATGAACGCTGCTAATCTATGCTTTGATGTTGATCTTCTGATTACTCCTAACTTTAGTAACTATCTTATTTGATCTTCGAATTCCTTTAGGTATTCATTTGTTGATTCTATAGTGGCTATTTTTCTTTGTATTCTGGGTTAATTATGTCTAGTTTGC